GTGATTGTTGTTGTTCACTTGCTAAGTCCTACAACCTCATGGACTGTAGCACACCAGGCTCCTCTGTCCTCCACCATCTCCCAGAGTTTGCTCAGATTCATGTCCATTGAGTCAGTGATACCACCTAATCATCTCATCCTCTGCCACCCGCTCCTTCTTTTGCCTTCAACCTTTCCCAGCATCAGGGTCTTTTCCAATGAGTAGCTCTTCATATCAGGCAGCCAAAGTATTGGAGCCTCAGCATCAGTCCTTCCAATGAATGTTCAGGGCTGATTTCCTTTAGGATGGATGGGTTTGATCTCCTCATAGTCCAAGGGACTCTCAAGAATATTCTCCAGCACAATTTGAAAGCATCAGTTCTTTGGTGCTCAGCCTTTTTTATGATCCAAATCTCACATCACTACATGACTACTGGAAATAACCATAGCTTGGGCTCCACAGACTTCTGTCAGCAAAGTGACGTCTCTGCTTTGTAATACACTGTCTACGTCTGTCACAGCTTTCCTTCCAAGGAGCAAGCATCTTTTAATTTCATGGCTACAGTCACTGTCCCCAGTAACTTTGGAGCACAAGAAAATAAATTCTGTCATTGCTTCCACGTTTCCCCCTTCTATGTGCCATATTATATCATAATGTTACTAGACTGTCAAGCATCATGAGCAAAAATCAGTTCTTTCTCCTGTTTGGATGGCTTAGTATAGTGCTAATATATAGCAAATGTTCAATCTGCCAAAAAATAAGTGAAGCCCACCATGCCTTGGGCCCTCATCTCCATGCACTTCTCTCTGACTCTAAAACTTCACAAAATCCACAATGCCAAACCACTTGGATTTTTAAAAATAGGCCATGCTCCTTCACTTCTTGAAACATGCTATTCTTATATTAATATCTAGATTGTCTTTGGGGCTCCATATAATTCTATTCCAAAAGTGAGCTCTGAGCCACCTCCTTCATGAAGCCCTTCCTGTCTCCTTTAGGAACACACTGTTTTGTTCACACGTGTATTTTAATAACACATCTGCATTTTCAAAGTCTACTGATGTCTCATGATGACCCACTGAAATATAATATTTCAGACAGATTCTGAATGAGGACCTAGTAAGAAATATGTCTTACACACAACACAATACATGTATCCCGTCGTGTAACAGATGTTAGTTATTTACTCTGTGCTATATGGCAACCCACTCCACTATTGTTGCCTGGGCAATTCCATGGACATAGGAGGCTGGCAGGACAGAGTCAGACATGACTAAGCTACTATCACTTCACTGGGCACTATTCTAGGCCTGGGGATACAGCGGTGAACAAATCAGATGAAAATATTTACCTCCAAGAAGCCTATATTCTGAAATTTTGAATTGGGTAAAGAAAGATTTCTTAGGCTTTCTGGATAGAAAAAAATAAAATAAAGAAAACTCGAAACATAAACAAGGGGGAAAAATCCAGCTGGCTTTATACTTCTCCCTGACAATATTCAGCATCAGAAGAAAATGAAACAATGTTGATTAAATTCAATGTGAAAAACAAATGTGATATAGCCAAGCAAAAATATGCCTAGTCAGCCATCTCTTTGCCACTACTAACAGATGCCTGGGATGAAGCTGGACAAACATTAACTCTGGTTATTTCTGACTGGCCAGCTTGCAGACATGTATTATTTTGTTTGTTTTAATTTGACTATTACTTGAATTTAAATATTACTTGAATTCATACTGGCCTGGTATCATTTTTATAAAAATACTAATTACTCTTGATTTTTTTAAAAAAAGTGAAAGTCCCTCAGTTGTGTCCGACTCTGTGTGACCCCATGGACTATAATGGAATTCTCCAGGCCAGAATACTGGAGAGGGTAGCAGTTCCCCCTGGAAGATCTCCAGGGGATCTTTCCAACCCAGGGATCAAATCCAGGTCTCCAGCATTGCAGGCGGATTCTTTACCAGCTGAGCCACAAGGGAAGCCCCCCCCAAAAAAGGGAGGAGGGAAAGGATGGCAATGTGCATCAGAGATATCAAAGAACCGTAAATTTTTAAAAGTTCCACAAATTGTATGCTTAACCTTACTATATAAGATGAATTCTTGTATTTTCTATTCTATTCCACTTTGCTTTTCTTAAACTCATTTTGTTCCACTAAATTATTTGAAGTTCCAATCATGAGTTATTATTCATAACTTGAAAAATATACAAGAGGCTATTAATTCAAGGATGGTAGTGATAGTTTCCAAGTAAAGATTGTCAAAGAATGCCCAACACTTCTTGGGCACTTAATTAGCATTTCCTGATAAACCACTGAATGAGTGAATGTTTTCCTCAGTAAAACTGAAGGCAACTTGAGAGCAAATTTTGTATTTTTTGAACCTTTGCACTCCCATGGCCAAGTGAAGAGCTGCTGCTGCTGCTGCTGAGTCGCTTCAGTCGTGTCCGACTCTGTGCGACCCCATCGAGGGCAGCCCACCAGGCTCCGCCATCCCTGGGATTCTCCAGGCAAGAACACTGGAGTGGGTTACCATTTCCTTCTCCAATGCATGAAAGTGAAAAGTGAAAGTGAAGTCGCTCAGCCGTGTCCAACTCTCTGCGACCCCATGGACTGCAGCCCACCAGGCTCCTCTGTCCACGGACCCTCCAGGCAAGAGTACTGGAGTGGGGTGCCAGTGCCCTCTCGGCAAAGAGCTAGTTCTCATTAAATAAAGTACTGAACTGAGCCCTAGTAGCCAATTGCACAATATGGCACTTCATAAATAGTGAAAGTCACTCAGTCATGTCTGTCTCTTTGAAACCACATGGACTGTGACCTGCCAGGCTCCTCTGTCCATGGAATTCTCCAGGCCAGAATACTGGAGTGGGTATCCAGTCTCTTCTCCAGGGGATCTTCCCAAATCAGGGATCGAACCCAGGCCTGCTCGCATTGCAGGGGATTCTTTACCAGCTGAGCCACAGGGAAGCTCACTTCATAAATAGATGTATGAGGGATGAAACATTTCTCAGATTCTTGATAACTAAGATATTTAAATCGGGGGCTTTAATTGCAACAATTTGTATTTGCCCACAAAAACATGTTTCCTGGAACAACCTGCCACTTCACAGATGTGAAAACTTTTCTACACCCAGGAATTCACACTCAAGCTTGCAAGGGCCAGGAAGGGGATAGACACCAATTATAAGGAACTCTCTTGCCTTCAAACCTCCATCCTCAAAACTTCCATTTTTCTTAAGCAAAGGAACTTCAAAACTGTGAGATTACAATTAATTTTTAAATGAGATTCATTTTCTCCATTTCACGCTATATTGTGTAATGACGTGACATCTGTGTGACCTTATTACTACAATTCTAACAATTTGTGTTTTTTAAGAAAATCTCTGAAGATTTCTCTGCTTCACAGAGTCATTATAGGATTCAAATGAAGAGTTCTTTAAGAGGGATCAGTGTGTAGCCTTCTTTTACAAGCTACAACCCAAATCTTTGTAAGAGAAAATACTATCAGCAACACCCTGGCCGTGAACAAATCTCACTTTTTAAAAGGAAGCTCTTATGTCAGAGACTCATAGTATTTCCTTGTGTTCACATCTGGAATTTGAAATTTGTCCATGTTTTTAAAAAAAAAAATAAAAACATGGCTACTCATTCTATCTAACTGGAAAAAGTTTTGGTTTTTTTTTTTTCTCACAATTGGCAGATTAATTTTTCTACTTGGCTAAGGAAGTTGTGAATTCAGGTTTAGTTTAGCGTAGCTCACTAAGATTTCTTTTCACTTAATCAGGGAAAGGTGTTGTCTGGGATATCATTACTTCTTCTTTCCTTTCTCTTTCTTCCCCTCTCCAGTTGTTTTGTCTTGCCCACTGTAGACTATCGGTCTAGTGGAGAGATGTTGACAAAACAGAACAAAATTATGAGAGAAAAAGCGGTGGAAGCCAGCCTGAGATGCAGCTCTCCCAGCATTAATTCCAGGCAGGGAAATTTAAACAGCTCGATCTGCTTTCTTTTTTTCTGTTTTATGTGAATATGTTCGTATGGGCTTCCCAGGTGTAGTGTACAGGTAAAGAATCCACCTGCCAATGCAGGAAGCAAAGGCTCAAAGAGATGCCAGTTCTGCTTCGCGGATGGGGAAGACCCCCTGGAGTAGGAAATGGCAACCCACTCCAGGCAAGAGCCTGGAAAATTCCCTGGACAGAAGCGCCTGGAAGGCTACTGTCCATGGGGCCCGCAACCAGTCCAATGTGACTCAGCACTCAGGCGCGCCAGGTTGGTATTAATCTTTGAACAACAAACAGGTGAACGAATTTCTTCGTTTAAAAAAAGGACTCCAGCTAAGGCCCGTGTTTCCTCTGGGCCCCGCCCCTCCCCTCCCCTCCCCCTCCCCCTCCCCCTCCCCCTCCCCCTCCCCCTCCCCCTCCCCCTCCCCCTCCCGCTCCCGCTCCCGCTCCCGCTCCCGCTCCCGCTCCCGCTCGTCACCAGGCCGGCCGGTGTGTGCTGGGTCCTTCTCTCTGTTTACATGCAACTTGGACTCTCTGCGATCTCATGGACTATATAGTCCATGGAATTCTCCAGACCAGAAAACTGGAGTGGGTAGCCTTTCCCTTTTCCAGGGGATCTTCCCAACCCAGAGATCGAACCCAGGTCTCCGGCATTGCGGGCGGATTCTTTACCAGCTGAGCCACGAGGAAGCCCGACTTTCACTGGAAACTCCCAAGAATGTGCAACTTGTGAGAACCGCGCAGGCGCTCACCGTGCCGCTCCACACGGGCACAAACGTACCCCAGGGCTTCTCCCGAGCGCAGCTGGACGTGATCGCCCCCCTCCATCCCAGTCCCGGGAAGCCGCAGCCCCCGCCCCGGCCCCAGCGTCTGCAGGACCCCCGCGCCTCGCTCCCGCACGGGGGCCGCGGGGCCCCACGGCGCTGCTCCCCGCGCCCGGGACGCCGCGTCCGCGCTCCGCGAGCCCCCTGGACGGGGCTCTTGCAGGGGACACGCAGGGCTCCCGGCCCTTTCGGCGCTGCCTTACCCGCCGGGGACCGCGACCCCAAGAAAAGAGAAGCTGGCTTAGCACCGCCATGTCTGGCCTGCCCAGGTCTGGCCGGAAATGCGCGCGCGAAGGGAGGCGGGTCCCAGAGCCCCAAGTTGGCAGGACTGGGCTGGCCAGGGAGGACCCGCCTGGGCGGCTGGGGCTCCCCGCCCCACCCCGGGTCAGAGCCCAGGCCTCTCCAGCGCTTTTTTGTGCTCCAATTACCTTTGTTTTCCCGATTGCTGTTGTTGTTTTAATAGGGTCTTTAATGGAGGTTCATCTGCCCCTCTGTGAGTGAGCGACTCACTGTGCCAGAAGTCTGAAGACTGCAGAAATGCATGACATGGATACACGTGTGTTTTAGCGACTAAGTCCTCTCTGACTCTTTGGCACCCCCATGGACTGTGGTGGTAGGGTAAGGAAGTTAGAGAAGGCGAGGTTCAGAAAAAAGAACCAGACCGGCACTTTATGGGAACAGATCACCTTTAATGAGGCGAGAAGGGGCAGCAGTCAGATGAGTGAGCTGCCGCACTAGCCCAAGAAGAGACTAAGTATATATAGTCATGTATGTGGAAATCTGCTGTCCTAAGGGGGCTGTTTTTCTCCGAGGTTGTTCTCTTAAAGGGCTGAGGCAAGGAATTCTGGAGATCGGCCAGAGCTCTGGGACCGGCTGGGAGCTGGGCGTAATCAACATTAATGTCCACTTTTTTCCCTTCCGTTGGGAGGGTTCTTCGTTTTGCATAGAATGGTGGGGAGGACCTGGAGGGAAGTTCTACCTCCCGGCTATTTTGAGCCCTTTAACTTTCCTTCAGTAGTTGCCCACCAGGCTCCTGTCTGGGATTTCCCTTGCAAGAATACTGGAGTAGGTTGCCATTTCTTTCTCCAGAGGATCTTTCTGATCTAGAGGTAGAACCTGCCTCTCCTGCATTGGCAGGCGAATTCTTTATCCCTGAGTCACCAGGGAACCCCTTTGTATACACTGCCAGAGTGCTAATCCCTTTTCAGCAGTTTGTTTATTCTTTAAGTGAATGTTTATGTCGAAGCTGAACCACTCATCATCAGAGTAATCATATGTTAGAGTTAAGACACAATCTCTCTTTGCTTAAGGTAAGTGGCTGAAATCTAATAGAAGCTGCAGCTGCTGGGCAGGTTTGACTTTCCAGAGACACCCCGCGCTTAGTCTCTTGGCAGAGACACAGCGGCAGTCTGACCCTCGGGCTTGGCTTTTTCTCACCAAGGGAGTAGTAACATACACCTCGGAAGTAAAGGCAGCTCTCTGTTGTATCATCCTACCTCTTAGCGTAATGCACCTGTTGACATCCTGTGTAAGCACAGATCACATCTCTTCCCCACTTCTAAAATGTGAATGTTATACATACCTGGAGGAGGGCCTGGCAACTCGCTCCAGTATTCTTGCCTGGAGAACCCCATGGATGGTATAAAAAGGCGAAGGACACTTAAAGATGAACTCCCCATCGGTAGGTGTCCAATGCACTACTGGGAAAGAACAGAGAGGATTTCCTAATAGTTCCAGTAAGAATGAAGTGGCTGGGCCAAAGCAAATATGACATTCAGCTATGAATGTGTCTTGGTGGTGAAAAAAATCTGATACCATAAAGAATACTACAGCATAGGAACCTGGAATGTTTGGTTCATGAGTCGAGGTAAGTTGGCTGTGGTGAAGCAGGAGATGGCAAGATGAACATTGACATTTTAGGAATCGGTGAACTAAAATGGACAGGAATGGGTGTATTTAATTCAGATGACCATTTTCTCTACAACTGTGGGCAAGAATCTCTTAGAAGAAATGTAGCCCTCACAGTCAACAGAAGAGTCTGAATTGCAGTACTTCATTGTAATGTCAAAAACAAAAGAATGATCTCAGTTCATTTCTAATGTAAACCATTCAACATCACAGTAAATAAAATCTATACCCCAACTACTAATGCCACAGAAGCTGAGGCTGAATGGCCCTATGAAGACCTACAAGAACTAACTTCAGAAACTAACACCAAAAAAAAAAAAAAGATGTCCTTTTCGTGATAGGGGAGTAGAATGCAAAAGTAGGAAGTCCAGAGATATCTGAAGTAACAGGCAAGTTTGGCCATGGAGTACAAAGTGAAGCATGACAAAGGCTAGCAGAGTTTTGCCAAGAGAATGCACTCAAAGCAAATACCTTTTTCCAACAACACAAGAGACAACTTCACACATGGGCATCACTAAATAAATGGTCAATACCAAAATACATGCATTATATACTTTGCAGCTGAAGATGGAGAAGCTCTATACAGCCAGAAAAACAAGATCTGGAGTTGACTGGGGCTCAGATCATGAACTCCTTATTGCAAAATTCAGACTTAAATTGAAGAAAGTAAGGAAAACCACTCAGCTATTCAGGTATAACCTATAAAGTCCCTTATGATTATGCAGAAGAAGTGACAAATAGATTGAAGAGATTGGATCTGATAGGCAGAGTGCCTGAAGAACTATGGACAGAAGTTTATAACATTGTACAGAAGGCAGTGACTAAAACCATCTTAAAGAAAAAGAAATGCAAGAAGACGAAGTGGTTGTCTGAGGAGGCTGTGCAAATATCTGAGGAAAGAAGAGAAGCAAAAGGCAAGGGAGAAAGGCAAAGATATACGCATCTGAATGCAGAGTTCCAGACAGTAGCAAGGAGAGATAAGAAGGCCTTCTTAAATAAGCAATGCAAAAAATAGAGGAAAACAATAAAATGGGATAGAATAGAGATGTCTTCAAGAAAATCAGAGATAGTAAGGGAAATTTCATGCAAGGATGGGCATGATAAAGGGCAGAAACAGTATGGACATAACAGAAACAGAAGATATTAAGCAGACATGGCAAGAATATATAAGCAAGAACTGTACAAAAAAGGTCTTAATGACCTGGATGACCATGATGGTGTGATCACTCACCTAGAGCCAGACATCCTGGAGTGTGAAGTCAAGTGGGCCTTAGGAAGCATTACTATGAACAAAGCTAGTGGAGGTGATGGAATTCCAGCTGAGCTATTTCAGATCCTAAAAGATGATGCTGTTAAAGTGCTGCACTCAAATTTGGAAGTGCTGTCAGCAAATTTGGAAAAACTCAGCAGTGTCCACAGGCCTGGAAAAGGTCAGTTTTCATACCAGTCCCAAAGAAGGGCAATGCCAAGAATGTTCAAACTACCATACAGTTGGGCTCATTTAACATGCCAGTAGGGTTACACTCAAAATCCTTCAAGCTAGTCTTCAGCAGTACATGAACTGAGAACTTCCAGGTATACAACCTGGGTTTTGAAAGTGCAGGGAACCAGATATCAAATTGCTAGCATTTTTGGATCATGAATGGAGAAAATAAGGACATTGCAGAAAAATATCTACTTCTGCTTCATTGGCTATGACAAATGACTGTGTGGATCACAACAAACTGTGGAAAATTCTTAAAGAGATAGGAGTACCAGACTACCGTACCTGTCTCCTAAGAAACCTATATGCACATCCAGCAGCAACAGTTAGAACCAGACATGAAACAGTGGACTGGTTCCAAATTGGGAAAGGAGTACAACAAAGCTCTATATTGTCACCCTGCTTATTTAACTTCTATGCAGTGTACATCATGTGAAATGCCAGGCTGGATGAATTGCAAGCTGGAATCAAGTTTGCCAGGAGAAATATCAACAACCTGAGATAAGCAGATAGTTCCATACTAGTGGCAAAAAGTGAAGAGGAACTAAAGAGCCTCATGATGAAGGTGCAAGAGGAGAATGATAAAACTGACTTGAAACTCAACATTTGAAAAGCAAAGATCATGGTATCTGGTCCTATCCGTTCATTGCAAATAGAAGGTGGGAAAGTGGAAACAGTGACAGCGTTTATTTTCTTGGGCTCCAAAGTCACCCGGGGCAGTGACTGTAGCCGTGAAATTAAAAGATGCTCGCTCCTTGGAAGGAAAGCTATGACAAACCTAGACAGTGTATTACAAAGCAGAGACATCACTTTGCTAAACAAAAGATGTTATAGGCAGAACTCTGGTTTTACCAGTGGTCGTGTATGGATGTGATAGTTGGACCGTTCTGATGGCTGAGAGCTAAAGAACTGATGCTTTCGAATTGTGGTGCTGGAGTAGACTCTTGGTAGTCCCTTGGACAGCAAGGAGATCAAATCAGTCAATCCTAAAAGAAATCAACCTTGAGTATTCATTGGAAAGACTGATGCTTACGCTGAAGCTTCAATACTTTGGCCACCTGATGTGAAGAGTCGACTCATTGGAAAAGACCCTCATGTTGGGTAATACTGAAGGCAAAAGGAGATGTGGTCAGCAAAGTATCAGATGTTAAATAGCATCACCAACTCAATGGCCATGAATCTGAGCAAATTCTGGGAGATAGTGGAGGACAGAGGAGCCTCTGTGCTACAGCCCATGAGGTCACAAAAAGTGGTACAGGATTCAGTGACTGAACAACAACAACATCAACACTGTAGATAAGATTTATTGAGATCCTTCTTCATAGAAGTTTGTGAACTATGAGCTTCCAGATGCTCAAGCTGATTTTAGAAAAGGCAGAGGAACCAGAGATCAAATTGCCAACATCTGTTGGATCATCAAAAAACTAAGAGAATTCCAGAAAAACATCTACTTCTGCTTCATTGACTATGCCAAAGCCTTGACTGTGTGGATCACAACAAACTGTGGAAAATTCTGAAAGAGATGGGAATACCAGACCACCTTACCTGCCTCCTGAGAAATCTGTGTGCAGGTCAAGAAGCAACAGTTAGAACCAAACATGGAACAACAGACTGGTTCCAAATCGGGAAAGGAGTGCGTCAAGGCTGTATATTGTCAACCTGCTTATTTAACTTATATGCAGAATACATCATGTGAAGTGCTGGGCTGGATGAAGCACAGTCTGGAATCAAGATTGCCGGGAGAAATATCAATAACTTCATATATACAGATGACACCACTGTTATGGCAGAAAGCAAAGAACTAAAGAGCCTCTTGATGAAAGTGAAAAAGGAGAGTGAAAAAGCTGTTTTAAAAAAACTCAA